CCCCCCCCCCCCCCCCCCCCCATCTGCTTCAAATCTGCTGGCAGGGATGAAAAGAAGTGCAGGAGATGAAGGAACAGAAATCACATCAAGGTATTTCAAGTCATTAAAGAGGCTTTTCTTTTGCAGCTGGCCATCAAACTTCCAGCGAAGCATTCTGCATTGAAATGCTGCATTAAGAAGATCTGCTCTGGTCCATTCATTGTCAGATGGGGGGGGGGGGGGGGATCAGTGGCCGGCAGAGGGGAGGGGGACGTGGGACAGAAATGTTTGAAGTCAGGCTTTTCATTGTGCTTCTGCATATTAGAACTTCGCTGCAGGTGCACTTCTACAGACTAAAGCAGAACGGACATCAGCAAGGTGGAGGATCGACGGAGGTGACCCCCGCCCCGTCCAAAGAGCCAGCTCCAGGAGGGGGCTCAGGGTTATCACAGGCCTGGGGGGGGGCACTGCTGTTAATGCTTCTGCAGAGGAATCAGCTTTAATTGTGCGGTGGGATGAGAGGAGTGCACGTGCACAACGAGGGGGGATGAGTTTTATAACATTTAGGAGGCAGAGGTTCAGAAAATAAGTTTTTATATATATATAAAAAAAAAAAAGCTGAGAGGGAAAATATTAAACTAAATCTGCTCCAACACGACCGGATCACTGGATGTTCACGACTCACTGATGAAACCAGATCAGAACCACGCGAAAAGTTAAAAACACGGATAAAAAGCTCCGTTTGTCACATCTGTAGTCTAAAACTGAGAGGAGACGTTTGGCTGCGGGTGTGTGTGTGTGTGTGTGGGGGGGGGACCCCAGGGGAGTCAAACTCAGTTATAAAAGGGGGCCAAGATTAAAAACTTGGCCCAAGCCCAGGGCCAGTCAGATAACCAACATGTTTTCTTGATTGCAGGTTCATTAATGAGAGTTTAATTTGTTCCCATGATGCTCTCTGTTGCTTTTTCCACATCAAAATGAAAGATTACTGAAAACTACTGTCCTGAGAGGTCTGCACTAAATGAAACATTCAGTCGTTTTTTAAGCAGTGAGAAACGATCAAAATATTTTACATCTAAAATATCTCAGAGGGCCAGATTTGGCCCACGGGCCTGGACTTTGACACACCTGCTCTAAACTGAGCAACAAACGCCAACATCTGGAACCATCCTGAAGCTCTTGAGTTGAACCTGAGCTTTTATTTTGAAGTGCAACATGATTTTTGGATTGTCCCACACAGTGTAGAGTCTGGACAGTGCGTTGTGCTGCTAAAGAAACACGTTTACACAAAATGATGCACAATTACACAAAATACACCGAACACAAGTTCCTGAGCAGAACGTGAGCTGCAGATTGAAACGGCAGCTTAAACTTTAACCTGTTTGGTTTTGTTGTTACAAACAGAGCTGCACGGTGCGTTTCCTGCCCTCTTTATTTATTTTTTGTTTTATCGGGGGGGGGTGCGTGCAAGAAGATGAGAGAAACTGTTCAGTCTGATTTTGTTTGTCCATCACTGTTCGTCACTGGGTGTCACGGAGCAGCTGCTGGGCTGGAAATGAACATGAAATGTCTTTTTTTTTAAATTTTCCGGAACTAATTATTTTAATTTCTAACGTTTTTCACGGGAAATATTTGTTCAAAACACAAATGCTCTACAAAGTAATCATCTGGAAATTCAAATTAAATTCACAATTAGCAGTTTTACATTGTTAAACACGAAGAATTTAGATTTATCCTTTTCAAAAATAATTTTTAGCTTAAAGGATTTAAACTTCTCGCACATTACACAAGCACACACGCACACACACACACACGCACACACTCGATGAAGGATCACAGTTGACCTTTCTTTTCGTCTCTCCGTGTTTCTGGACAGATGATTTCTCTCCCTCCGTCTCCGTCTCCTCTCCATCTCGTGCGCTTTTACTAAAAATTGAAATATTGATCTTAATTAGAGTTTGCCGAGCTCAGCAGCTCGCGTTGAGGGTTTTAGACAAGAGGCAGCAGACATCTGTCTAAGGCACTTACATCTTCAGCGCAGGAGAGGAGCCACGTGGCTGAGGAGGAGGAGGAGGAGGAGGAGAAGAGTGATGGCTCCCTGTCTCCTGCCTTTTCTAAGAAACATGTCGAGCTCTCCATCTCTGCTCGCCGCTGTCGATACATCTGAGGGAGAAGCAAAGTGAAAACTGACACACACACGCACACACACGCTCTCCATCTTGACAGAGCAGGCCGAAAGCAGCTAAACAGGAAGTGTGTGACACTCGGTTCATGAAGAGGAGTCGGGGCTTCTCCTCTGTCCCGCGGATGTCAGCCCTGAAAACGAATCTTTTGTCTGCCTCAACATTTGCTGCAGAGTTGCATCATGTGAGCAGGAGGCCCGAGTCCGAGACGCGTCCTGCTGTCACTGAGCTCTGGAAGAAGTTTCCAGTGAAGCGATTGTTAGTCGTCCACTGAGTCACTCGGGTGGTGATGTGGATGAACTCGTAACATCTGCCTGCCAGGATTACCCGTAGATTCATCCAGAAACAGTCAATACCAAAACACAACAATGGCTGTAACTTTGGGAACTGTACAACTATTCAGCTAAAGTTTGGCGAGGCAGTAGCCGAGGGTCTAAGCCAGGGGCGATTCTAGGATCTGCCCTTTAGGGGCGATCAGCCCCCAGTGTTGACAGCGGCTCTTGGCTTGAACGATGTGGTGGCCACTGGCTGTCATTTCTAACCTGGGCCCCAAGCCCGGCCTGGCCCGTCCTGAATTTGGGCCGGGCCGTAATAATGTGTTTGATGGGCGGGCCGGGTCGATGTCGGGCTTTTGATTGCGTCAGCAGACGCGTGCAGCTGGTGATCCAATTATATGGCAACCTGGCTTGCCATACAATCACCAGCCGCACGTGGCCATTTCCCCGCGAGCTGATCGGCCTTGAAAGAGGTGAAATAAAGTTCAGTTAAGCTTCAGATGGAACTACTGCCAGGAAGTGATCCATCAGCCCAAACGGACGTTCATTCAGCCGCTGCACTCAGCGAACACGCGTGGCCGACGACCCAAACGGTGAGATCACAAAATATCAGACATGTCAGAGCAGGGTCCGTGTCTGAATGATGCAGAATGCAGCAGAAACAGGGATTTAATGCGCTTTGATGGCCATGGTGTATTTTAACATTATTTAAAAAAAACATCTATGTTTACCTACATAAGTGAACACTTGATTCAATAACTATTTTAGAGAGCAACAAGAAGTAGCGCTAAGCTAGCAGCGCACAATACAGACGCGCTAGCTAACATGCGAAAGATGAAGCGCTCTGCTTTAATAAACACTTTGAACAAAATCACTTTAGTGTTAACTGATCATAAAAACAAATAATAAACTTAACCAGAAGTTCCAGCATGCATCTACATTTAAAACAAAGCACAACTAGCTTCAAGCATTAATCTTTAATCAATAAGCATACGATGCCATGATGACAGAAAATGGAGGATTTACCTGCAGTTACCTTCATACACATGAACATGTGGTACTTCCTGTTCCTGTAATCGGCTGATCGTGAGGTCGGCCGCAGGGCTTTATCATCTTTGACATTTTTCCAGACTTCGTTTGGTTTTTGAAATGTAATAAACTTTATTCCATCCTGTACCGTCAGGGGAACGCGTGCCTGAACTACGTTCTCCACCGACAACGTTTAATCGTTTTTCTGACGATTTTTCATGAAGTCTCTCCGACCGCAAAGAGTTCGTAATGCAAAACTTTGACAATGTTGTCAGGAGAAAAGGGGGTGGAGCTCCTGACGGGGGGGCGTTTCACTTGGGGACAAATTAAGATCGCTGATCGGTCAGTTGCTGATGAGCCTACCGGATTGATTGACAGGTGGTGTCCAGGATCCGACTCGTGCACAAAAACACCAACATTATACTGGCCCCTTTGAGGCCGTCATCAATTATTACATTTTTCATTCTAAATTTATTCAACATTTTGCTGAATTTAAGGTTTCAGAAGTGAGTTTCTTCACAAAATCCTAATGACGGTTTATTTTTCAGGGGTGCCGAGTCAAAATCAAGGGGTGTCTGAGCACCCCCAAGAAGAGGCTCAAATCACCGCTAAGCACAAAGAATGTGACAGATCTGTGGTTGAAACGTTGACACTAACTCTTAGAAGTTGAGATCGCTCATCTGTGGTCAGGCCACAAAGGCAACAGGTCCAGGAGGGAAACCCAGACCCCCCCCCACCCCCCTCAGAGACATTCTCCAGCTCCTCCCGAGGAGTTCCCAGACCAGAGAGGAGATATAATCCCTCCAGAGGGTCCTGGGTCTGCAGGAGAAGCAGCTCTACTCCGAGCATCTCCCAGACGACGGCGCGGTGGCTGAGCGTCATCCCCAACACATCCTCCGAGCGCCAACGGATCGTGCAACGTTTCACAAAACCATCCACGAATCCCATTTCTCAGCATGAAAATGTGATGACAGGCAGCGGGCGGTACGCACTTCTTCCAGAAAATCTTTCCTTCAAACTGCAGGACACGCACACACTTTCTTTGCTGCCGTTTGCGAACACGTGCACGAAACATTCGCTTCACTTCCTGTTGTTTAAAATGCCCGAGAGTTGAACGTGTTCATTCCGTCTGAATGTGAGTTCAGTGTTGATGGAAGCATGTGACCGCCGTGTCCGCCTGACATGCAACTGTGATATTAGCATGTGAGGCGGATTCCTGTCTGCACACACACGCACGCACGTGCACACGCCGAGCGTGACGTCACTCTGCGCTCGTGTGTCTCCTCTGTTGGCTTTTAAAGAGAGAGCCACTGCTGCTTCTGTCACCACCTCCCCGATGAAAGGTTTCACGAACGCGCTCGGATCATGTGACGCTGCAGAAACACACGCACAGCTCATAACACCCCCCCCCCCCAACACACACACACACAAGAACAACACAGAGTGGGAATTCAAACTTTATTTCTCCGTTTTAAAATGTACAAAAACGTGGTAAGAATAAAAATTGCACAGCGAAGATGTAAACTCATAAAAACTCAGGTCTAAAGACAAAAACGTTCAGAGCCCGAGTGTCTGCGAATAAAATAATTATAATAAAAGCAAGAATCTGATGTTTTCACCTCTGGTCCTGCACGTCTCACAGCCGAGGTTTGATCTGCAGCTTTTTCTCTGCAGAACAGAAACACAAAAAAGATCAACATGAGAAGGTTTTGCAGAAATTAAATGACAAAAGAGACAATTATAAAGTGACAAATCGTGCGCGTTTGCTCGTATGTAACTGCCTCGGATCCAGGTGAGTGATGACACCTCAGCTGATGAGTAAATGAAGAAGAGGACAACAGGGATGGAGTGTGTGTGTGTGAGTGTGTGTGTGTGAGAACATGGCAGTGATACATCATGTCTGAGCTAATTTATGCAAAGTGAAGAGGAGCTTGTTTGGCAGAGTTCCACCTTTAATGAGGCTCTCTGCGGTGCCGAGTGTTGGTGAAGGAGATCCGAGTCATTAGTAATACTTAAAGCAGCCGGACTGCAGGAGCGAAGGGGCGAGCACGTCCTCCCCGGCTCCGTCCGAGTCTTTGGAAAGAATTTATAAATCTAACAACGCCTCTTTCCGTTTCTGGTTTTGGAAAGTTTTCACAGATTTCTTCTGACGTTCATCTGTCACCGAGGCAATAGGTCCAGGAGAGAAACCCAGACCTCCCTCTCCTCAGAGACACTCTCCAGCTCCTCCTGGGGGACCCCGAGGTGTTCCCACACCGGACAGGACCCATAATCTCTTCAGAGAGTCTGGGTCTGACCCGGGGTCTCTTCCAAGTGGAGGAGGCATCAGGAGGCATATGAAGCATCTCAGATGACTCCTTTCGATGCAGAGGAGCAGTGGCTCTACTTCGAGCTCCCCCCAGATGACGGAGCTTCTCTCCTGATCTCTAACCCTGAGCCCCCCCCACCTTACGAAGGACGCTCATTTCAGCCGCTTGGATCCAGGATCTCATTCTTTCAGTCCTGATCCAAACCAGTAAATCCAGAGCTTTGCCTTTTCACTCAGTTCTTTTTTTCACCATGACTGACCGAAGCAACACCTTCATTACTGAGGATGAGATGCACACATACCATACATGAACAAGACGCTCAGAAACTCCTCGACCTAAGGTAAAGACCCCCACCCCCACCCCACCCCCCAGGAGGAGGTGCTCCACCTGCTCCTGGTTGCACCGCGGCGTCAGGCTGAGAGGAGCCGAATCTCATGCAGCTGCAAACGTTCTCCGTTCACCACAGTGGAGAACATGCGTCGCCCGCAGGTTTCAGCGGCGCTTCAGAAGCTTCACTGCAGTTCTCCGGTAAACGGCAGGAAACACCGACGTGTAGCAGGAACACAAGAAGAAGAAGAGCCGTCCTTCATCCCGAAGCAAACGGAAGGATTCAACGTGTCCAAGCAGTTTGTCCGGTTCACGAAACCTCTGCGTCCAAATCTGAACGTGCACGACAGGCTGCAACACCCGGAGCACGAACCAGACAACCACAGGAGATTAGTCCTCAATTACAGAATAAAACTGAAACATGTGCCGTGTTTTCTGCATAATGTAGATGCCCTGCGACTTATACACCGAAACAACGTACGTATGGATTTTTCCCATATTTATAAAACAATTTTTGGCTGATTTGACCGTTTTCATTATTCTGACTGAAAATATTGAACACTACCATTTTCAGCTGCTGGATGGCACTTGTGTCGTATGGCATGCTGTTGTGTCATCTATTCATCCATCCATCCATTATCTTTTACCCGCTTCTTCCATTTTGGGTCACGGGCGTCGCCGGTGACCATGTCCAGCAATCACTGTGCGAGGGGCGGGGGGACACACTGGACAGATCGCAAGTCCATCACAGGGACACACAGACACAAACCACCATCCACTCTCTCTCTCTCACCTAGAGACAATTTAGAGTTACCAATCAGCCTAACATGCATGTTTTTGGTCTGTGGGAGGAAACCGGAGAAAACCCACGCATGCACAGAGAGAACATGCAAACTCCACCCAGAAAGGCCCCCGGACTGGGGTTTGAACCAGGGACCTGCTCGCTGAGAGGCAGCAGCTCTACCAGTTGTGCCACCGTGCTGCCCGCTGTTGTGTCATGTAATAGGTAAAAGTGGCTATTAATGACACAATCAGCTTGCCATAGCCTGCCACCTCCGTCCAGCTCGCCTGGAGCAACCGTCAAATCTGCTTCATTTCTCTGCGCCGCCCCGGAGAAACGCAGCTGATTTGACCATTGAAGTGAATTTATTAAATAAAAGTTCAACAGAGACACACCTTTACTATAAAGTTGAGCAAACAAATACTTGTTTTTAAGTGTTAATCTTGTTAAATTCTTGTTAAAGTCCTCCTGCGTACACTCCCGCAGCCGCCATTGGGCAGCCAATTGATTTTTGGCTCAACACCGGCACACGTTACCCGACTGTCAGTGGTGACGCGTAATAGACGAGACTTACCCGGCGACGGGACGTATTTATGGATTCTTCCACTTTATTAGACATATTTGGACTGATGCAACTTATAGGGCGGTGTGATGTGTACAGTGTAAAATACAGTCAATAAAAAAGCTTGAATAAATAAAAAATTAAATGAACAGAAGTAACGACAGAAAAAGCAATAATAAGAAACAAAAGAGACTAAATTACGGGGATTAATGGACACAATCAGCTGTTTTATGATCAAATCCAGTTTCCAGAAAGTTTTGTTTATGTTTAAATATGTGAGTAACACAAATTATTAACGCTCTCAGTATTTATTAGGCTTTAGGTTTCAAGTTTTTTAAAATTGTAAATTAAATTAAAAAAGCACGACAGTTGGTCACAAACAACAACAAAAAGCATAAAAACAGAACCAGTTTGGTAAAAATATTAGATTAATTATAAAAAAAAACACAACAACTTAACGCTCATGTTTTATTAAAAGCTGTTAAATACAAATAAGTTTTGATTAGTCAAAAAATATTATTTTGTTTGTTTAACTTAATTCAGATAAAACTGTAGATAAATCACAAAACTACGTGGAGTTTCTTATTTGTGTTGGAAGCAGTCAGATGTTGGGCTGCAGATCCAGCCGGTCCCCGTGTGCGTGTGGGAGCCCAGCAGGTGGACTCTGATCCCAATGAAAGACCGGAACGGGGGAGGGTGGGGGGGTCGTTCTTCTAATCCTCCATCTGTCAAATCTGTCAGCAGTGAGCTGAGATGATCCTCCATCGGCCCAAAAGCTAAATATTATCACCTCTGTGCCGAGTTTGATTACTCCACACCCCGACTCGTCCTGCGACCCGCTCCTGGTCAGACGGACCCATCCTGGGAATTAAAAAGGGATCCAAGGGGATTGTTTCCCCTGAAAATCTCCACTCCGAGACCTGGATTCAGAAACCTTCAGTTTCAGGGAGAACGAGGCTGTTGTCTGTAAACGAACGTTTCACGTCGTGTAAACGAGGCCTCAGACTGGCTGACCCGTCTGTCAATCAAGAGACACGTTTCATCGATGATGATCGGCTGACGTCTAGTTTTTAATCTACCCAGAATACCTTTGAGATCGACAGGTAGATCGCGATCGGCGCATTGGGCGCCCCTGGTCGATGCAGTAAACTGACCCAACTATAAAACACTGTCTTAATTTATACATATTTAAATTGCGAATATGGTAATTAGTTAAAAATGACAAAGCATTGATAGTGTCGGTAAACTTCTCCAAACTACACTGTTAGATGGAAGGTGGTTTATAATGTCAGGCAATATTTATTATAAAAGAACAACATTTCAAAATGTTTAGATGTGTGCTGCCTAGTCTGTTTTAATCAATCTGTGTGTTTTCAGCTCATGAAGAACTCTGCGCTCTCAGAAGGTGAAAACCTTCAGAAGCAGCTTTAAAACCCTCCACCAGTTTCACGTTTGTACCTTTGACTTGTGCCACGTTAGCCGGATGAGCATTCGGTGCTTCTGCTTCCTCGGGAGAGCTGGAGAGGGAGATGAAGGATGGCAGGGCCAGAGGACCCGCAGGGGGCGTCCCTGGAGCTGCCTGAGCGTTCTGTGGCATGTGGACAAACAGGTGAGGCCTGCGGGACAGAAACACGAGTTAAAATGTGTAACGACGTTTGTTATGACTGGATCGGTTTGAAACTGGAGCGGCACCTTTTCACAGGCTCCTTGGTGCGGGGTCTCTTGGCAGGAGTCGAGGCGGTGCCGTCGGGGCTCCGTTTGACCCGTTGGCGGTGCTGCAGCTTACAGCAGGAGCCTCGAGGGCAGGAGCCGGACTTGGAGAAGTCCGGACACACCAGGGTGTGTTTCTTCTTACACTGAGGATTACAGACACGATCAGCTGCAGACCATAAAGAAGAACTGAAGTCTTTGTTCCCTTCATTCGTTTCGTTTTCTTTTCCATCACTCAAAGGCTCTTTAGGAGTTTCCTGACCCTTCAGAGCCACCGTACATGCACAAATCATGTCTCAGCTACCAGAACAACAGATTTTAGTTCAACACCTGAAAAACTGTTAGATCTATTTTGAGTTTGCTCAGGCTGATTAGCTGCGGCGGACATCTTGAATCAGGGTGACTCTAAAAAACAAAGATTTAATTTGTGTACAAGACTGTCGGCCTTTCGTTGTGACAGTGATTAAATCACCAAGTGGAAGCCATGACTCATTTTATTTACAGTACCGGAACAACCGCTCACGGATCAGCTTTAGCACCACGGTAGCTCAGTGGTCAGTGCCCAGGATGGACATCTGGCGTAAAACAGTCAAATCTTCTGCGAGAATCCTCTCGATGTGGCGACTCCTGCAGAGCTGCTCCTGCAGAGCTGCTCCTGCAGAGCTGCTCCTGCAGAGCGGCTCGACGGAGAGACCAGGTTTGGATTAGGCGCTCGTTCTTGCAGGTTGCTAATTTTAAACGTTCGAGTCACCGTATCTTTTAACGCGCACCGAGATGAAGTCGGTCACATTTAACGTCATTCTGGGGAGAGGTGTGCACGAGAGCGCGGGCGTCCGTGTTTGCAGGCGAGTGTGTCTGAGTGTGTAATGCGGGTGTAAATTGGTGGCTTCATTCTCCACGAGACCCGATCCCCCCCACCTGTCAGAAAAGCTAATTATATTCACTCCGGAGTGCAAAGAGTGTGTGTGTGTGTGTGTGTGTGTGTGTGGGGGGGGGGGGCAGATAAGTCCAGAAATAGAACATGTATGTATGTTTGTGTGTGGAGGGGACAGAGATCGATTTTCCAGGAACATTGTGGACTCTTGGTCCCCTCTGGCCCCCCCAGAGCCCCTGCCACCTCCCTCCCCCCTCACACCCGTGTTCCTGCTCCACTGGGAGCCGGCGCTCCGCTGTTAAGATGTTTCCTCGGATCATCTCGTAGGGCTGCGGCTCAGATGCAACATTTCTCCAAACAAACTGGGTCCGTTTGCATTTGTCGGCGACGGCGGTCGGTTCGGACGTCACCGTCAAGCTACAGGGGCTCACACGCTAGAAATCATTTATCATTTTAGAGCCAATTAGTGCTCTAAACAATTAGTGCTCTAAACAATTAGTGCTCTAAACAATTAGTGCTCTAAAACTCATCTGACTGACAGGGCTGCTGTGACGGATCAAACAGCTTCATCGAGGCTTCGCCGTCCAGATGTTGCAGCTGCAGGACGGACGGTTCGAACAAACTACGAGTTCTTTCTTTATTTTTATTTGTGCATCTACAAGTGTCTGCTCGGAAGGTGGGGGGTGAAACCAGAAACACGAACCTCGATACTTTGATCGCAGAAACAAAATGTTTCCAGAGAGGCTGTGGAAAGTGTCAAACCCCAAACTTCAGATAATTAAAACGGTTTCTGTGAGCTCCACGCTCTCTGGGGTTTCTGCACATTTATTCGTAATAAAATGATAAAAATCCGATGAATGAGTTGCTCTTAGTGACACCTCTCAGGAGTTTTAGACTAAAATCATGTTTCGTTGAGAAACAAAACATGCGATACAGCGAGACGTCTGAAAACTAAACGTAGAGTTTAAATGTTTTATTTTTCATTAATAAGGTCCAAGCTGTAAAAATATAAAAAAGTTTAAGTTTAACAGAAGTCTCTCAGGTTCGTGTCCCAGCGGTTCATCGATGTCCCCTGACGCCGAGGGCTTTGAGTAGTGGACGCTTGTAGTTTTGGAGATGAAGGTTTTTCCTGACTGGAACTGAACATGGAACAAAGTAAACCTGAATGTTTTTGGTGCAACGTATTCAAGATGGTGGAGACCAGAGGGAGGTTTATTTTTCTTGTCCGAGGCGGCGCAGAGTGACGGATCCTGGAGAGTGGAGGGAGACATTTCATCCACCGCCAGGTGCAGTGGAGGAGCCGGGGGGTGGCCACCGGTGGCCTTGGTCACCCCAATCATTTGAGGAACTATACTTTTAAGGAATATAAACTAGAAAGCTTCTTTTCTTACATATAGGTGCAGCTACACACCAGTTCTCAACACGAATGGATGGATAGACTTTGCTCTGCGACGGAGGAAATAAAAACATAACTTTTATCTGCCCACGAAGGAAAGAAACCGAACTGTGATCTGTAAAAGAGTTAAAGTCCATAACCAGCTGACAAACTGTGAGTGGCTGAGTCCACTGTCCTCAGCTCCATACATCCTCATTTTCATAAAAAGACAGAAATGGGAAATGGGAGGGAGATGGGGAAAAAAAAAAAGCTAAAGTGAGGAGAACATCTTTATTCCACACAAAGTTAACAATTTTCCACTTGATTTAAGGAACGCCAGGATGTCTCTGGGGCCTATTAGAGAGCTCTCTGCTGGGCCAAAACCAGGAGGAGTCAGCACATTTACCAAGAGGGAAGAGAGGGAGCAGAAAACGAGAGGATGGGAAGCTGAGAGATGGCAAAAATATAAAGTAAAATAAAAAAGGGGAGCTCACACATACATTTACAACTTAGGCTTTAAGCCAAGAGTCACTGAGAGCGACTTACAGAGAGGGGATGGAACAATAAAGGAGCCCCGATTGATATATTGTCACATTTACACGAGTAAAATCAAGAGAAAAATGGGGGTTTTGTTGTGTCACTGCACTTAGAGCTGTAATCAGACTGAGATTAGCATCTTATAAATCTATCTAAGTGACACCGCAGCGTAGATGCAGTGGACGCAGAGAAAATAAGAAGAAAGCTGTGGCTCTCCTCTCCTGTTGCATGAAGTGGAACCCGGCTTCGCTTTGACTGCAGCTTTAAATCACAGCCTTTATGTGGGAGCAAACCTTCTTAATGGATTACTCTGTAATTTTTACAAACGTTCATCCTGAACAAAGAGGGATCTCAGGGACCCGTCAGGTATTCTGCTGCTGCTGCTCTGGTCTCATATGGAGATCTGGGAGAAGCTTTAGAGTGCCCATTACTTGCAGAGTGCCTCAGGGCTCTATACTTGGCCCCATTCTCTTTTCTCGGTTTTTACCTGAACCAACAAACCGTTATTTTAAACAAGGTAATTTTGAATTTGATGTCCGCAACAGTAAAGTTTGAGGGTTCTGGAGAAGAGTGTCTATTGGATAGTCGAACTTCGGATTCAGGAAGAGCAGTGGTTTTGTTCTGGTCGTGGACCACTGGACCAACTCTACACCCTCAGCAGGGTCCTGGAGGGTGCGTGGGAGTTTTCCAAACCAGTCTACATGTTCTTTGTGGACTTGGAGAAGGCGTTTGACTGCGTCCCTTGGGGAACCCTGTGGGGGATAGTATGGGGTACCAGGCCCTTTGATACGGGCTGTTAGGTCCCTGTACGACTGGTGTCAGAGCTTGGTCCACATTGCCGGCAGTAAGTCGGGCTCATTCCCGGTGAGAGTTGGACTCCGCCAAGGTTGCCCTTTGTCATAGATTCTGTTCATAACTTTTATGGACAGAATTTCTAGGCGCAGCCGAGGTGTTGAGGGGATCCGTTTTGGTGGCCTTAGGATCACTTCTCTGTTTTTTGTAGATAAATGGTAAACGGACTGTACTTAAGAAGCGCCTTTCCATCTTATTTCAAGATACTCAAAGTGCATTATACTACAATTTGTGCCCTCATTTACCCATTCATACAGCACTCTACTAGATCTCTACAAAGCTAAATGCTAGATGATGTGGTCCTGTTGGCTTAATCAGATCATGATCTACAGGTTTCACTGGAGCGGTTCACAATCAAGTGTGATGCAGCCGGGATGAGGATCAGTGCCTCCAAATCTGAGGCCATGGTCTTGAGCCGGAAAAGGGTAGAGTGCCCTCTCCGGGTCAGGGAGGAGGCCCTACCCCAAGTGGAGGAGTTCAAGTATCTCGGGGTCTTGTTCAAGAATGAGGGAAAAATGGAGCATGAGATCGATAGGCGGATAGGTTCAGCGTCTGCAGTGAAGAGGGTGCTGTACCGGTCTGTCGTGGTGAAGAGAGAGCTGAGTCAAAAGGCGAAGCTCTCAATTTACCGGTCGATCTACGTTCCTTCCCTCATCTATGGTCATGAGCTTTGGGTTGTGACAGAAAGAACGAGATCTCAGATACAAGCGGCCAAAATGAGTTTTCTCCGCAGGGTGTCTGGGCTCTCCCTCAGAGATGGGGTGAGAAGCTCGATCATCCGGGAGGGACTCAGAGTAGAGCCGCTGTTTCTCCACGTCGAGAGGAGCCAGTTGAGGTGGCTCGGGTGTCTGGTTAGGATGACTCCTGGACACCTCCTGGTGAGGTGTTCCGGACACGTCCCACCAGGAGGAGACCCAGAGGAAGACCCAGGACACGCTGGAGGAACTATGTTTCTCGGCTGGTCTGGGAACGCCTCAGGGTTCCCCCGGAGGAGCTGGACCATGTGGCTGGGGAGAGGGAAGTCTGGGCCTCCCTACTTAGGCTGCTACCCCCGCGACCCGACCCCGGATAAGTGGAAGAGAATAGATGGACGGATGGATGTAACAACAACCGCAACAGTAAAGTGTTTATTTTAATTATATTTTCCTGCATATCATTTTACCCTCTGGATAGTGTTTAAACAGACTTGGAGGTTTTATTAACACAAACATTTAGTGAAATTATCAGTTCAGCTGCATGAGAAACAACAAAAAGTCAAAAACACATAAGACTTTAATACAAAAACAACAAGTGTGCATCTTGTTTTTAAAGCAGACCAAAGCTATCCTCTCTCAGGAGGATTTTTGAATCATAACTGTCGGCATTATAAAACTTTTTCATCTGCTGCTCACAGAAATAAACACTAACCTCCAAAAGATCCATCAAAACCATCCCGTTTCTGATGGTTTCAGTGAAAATAAATACCAGTAAATATCCACAGTGCATGCAGATGCAGCCAGCAGAGAAACTCCTTTTGTTGTAATTTGTAATTCTTTTAATCTTTAAAAAGCTATCGAGTGCGCATGTATCATCTTTTCATCCTGTCCAAAACGGAGCAGAACTTACTGAACATGACAGGAATATTTTATTATTATTATTATTTTATAACTGCTGTAATCCAACCAAGTTGTTTTTAAACCTCAGATTATTTGTTCAAAGATTCTCTTGAAATCAGACGATCAGCCGGGCTGAAAGTGCACATTTTTACCTAATAGAAGACAAAAGTTCATCTCAAAATATTTATATGTACAACACAAATTCTGAAAAATCTTGGGACTTTGTGTCAGAAAAAAACCCAAAACATGAAATCTAATGATTGGCAAATTTCATCATCTCACATTTTATTCACAACAGAACACAGTCAACTAAAACATTAACCTTGAATAAATAATTTTGGGTTTGATGGCAGCGACATAGCTCAGAAAAGTTGAGCCGGGGGCAGCAAAGGTTGTAAAAGTAAGTAGTGTTAATAAGAAACAGCTGGAGGAGCATTTAGCAGCTAATGAGGTTGATTGGCTACAGGTGAGTCAGAGGGCGGGGCATGAGAGGCTGAATCTTTCAGACAGATGGGCAGAGGTTCAGCTGTCTGTGAAAAACTGTCTAAAACTACAACTTCAGAATGAAGCTCCTCGCTAGAAAACGGGAGAATTTTGAATCTCCATCATCTCCAGTTCATAATCTCATCAACAGATTAGAAGAATCTGTAGAAATCTCTGAGCTCAAAGGACGAGGCTGAAACGGATGGTCGTGATCTTCGGGCCCTCAGGGGCCCCTGCATTAAAAACAGGTCTGGTTCTGTTCTGGGCTCTTCCACAGATCATCCACAGATGCTGCTTAAAGCTCTATCGGACAAAGAAGAAGCCAGATGTGGACACCGTCCAGAACCGTTGCCGTCTTCTCTGGACCAAAGTTCAGAGAGTGCACAGTTCAAAAGCCTGCCTCTCTGATGGTATAGGGGTGCATTAGTGCCTCAGGTATGGGCGGCTTACACATCTAAATTCAATTTAAAGAGCTCTTACTTTTTCCATGAATATAATAAAATTTCGTAGATTCAATGTTTGTTTACTCTGTTCCACGGTAAATAAAATGTTTTTTTTTTTTAAATTTGCAAATAATTGTTTTCTATTTTTATTTACACGTGAACTTTTCGCTGAATCGGGGTTGCACGTGTCGTCATGAGAGCCCTCCAAGAGACGTCAGAGCAGTTTTACAACAATAAGAACTTAGAAAGTTTAGTTTAGCAGAAGTTTTCTTTTTGCTTGGAAGAAAAACTAAAATAAAGAATGAACATTTAAAAAAAAAAAATTAAGGTTATTTTGAAGATTTTCAAGTTTAGGAACAACTCCGATAACTCTGTTAAATACGACAACTGAAGCCACTCGATGGAAGTATGGATGAAAAGAACAGGTAGTGACAAATTAGATACATTCAGGAGAGAAAAGATGAAATGATTAAAAACTAGTACGCAGCAGAGAAAAGAAAAGACATTTGGACAGATCCTGTCAGGGTGGAGGGGGAGACAAAGCCAGGATGAGGGAGGATGGGAGGAGGAGGATGGAGCCGAGGAGCAGACTTAACCCCTGAGCTGCTGCAGTGTCTGTCCGCCCGGCTCAGAGTGCCACCCTCAGCAGTTTTCCCATCTATAATTACTGCCTGCTATCCATCATGCAGCCGCCGGTGCCTCACAGCAAAACGCTCCGTAAACACACACACACACATGCACACAGGCACACACACACACACAAACACACACACGGGGAAAATCACAGAGCTAAGCAGTTCGGCTAATAGAATAAATATTAATATCCCTTTTGTTTTCTATCCCCTCGTTTCCCTTCGCACATTTTAAATGAGGTCTGACAGTGTGAAAAAGCATCTGTTTCACACTCAAAACCAGCCGGGGGGGG